CGTTTATTGCTCCGCTCCGCAGGGCCGGGGGCTCGCTCCGAGGCCGGGGGTGGCGGCAGGAACGGGTGCGGTGCCGGTGATGCCGTCCTGGGGAGGGGCTTCGGGGGGCTGCAGGGACGCCCCCGGCTCAGCGCAGCTGCAGGAGGAGCGCTGCCAGCACCCCCAGCGCCACGGCCAGGAGCGGGGGGCTGGCGCCGGGCGAGCTCCGGCCGCCGCTGACCGTGGCGTTCGCCGCGGCGGCATCTTGCGGAGCGAGCTCCTCCGCGTTCGCTTTCGTGTCCTTGGCCTGGCCGAGCGCCTGGCAAGGAAAACAGCGTCAGACATCCCTCCCCACAGCAGCGGTGAAAGCCCCGAGACCCCTCACGGGATGGGCCTGGGGGCACTGCGGCGCCCACGCTGCCCCTCCCCAGGCGGGACAAACAGCCTCCTGTCCCCTGGCAAGTTCCCTTCCCACTCCAGCTCTTGGCTTTGGGCTCGTCCCAAGGCAGGGAGGGAAGTGAGCTCTCCCTGGAGTCGCTGCCCTGCTGCTGACCCGGGGGGTTCAGAAATTAGGGGGGAAGTGGAAGCCAGGGAGTGGTGTCTGCTCCTCTGGCTGCCGCGAGGGAGTGGTGAGAAGGTGTCGGGGCCGTGGCCCTGCAGAAGAAGAAGAGGGGTGGGGGTTGTGCGAGGAGCAGGGGGGACCCCCGAGCCCGGGCAGGGTGCAGTCGGTGTGTGAAATGCAGCACAGCCAGGGTGGCAAGCTCGGGGCAGTTTCTTTCCCTCTCTGACGCTGTCCTGGCTGCTGGAAAAGCGATGCCGTTTCCCACTGTGAAGCACACTGTCTTACACCCCTCCCCAGGGTCCCTCCCGAGATGGGAAAGGAGCAGGAACGAAGCCCAAAACTCTGCTCTGCCCCTTTGCCACACTCTTGTCCTTTTTGCCTGCTTTACAGAGGGGAAAATCCCAAAATCTACACGCACCCCGTGGAGCCAGCAGCAGGTCCCATCTGTGGGGAACTCCATGAGTGAAATAAGCACAGACAAATCTGGCATCATTACCAACATGTAGGAGAAAAAAAACCATCCCAAAAGCTGCCTCAAAGTGCATCATGCTCCCCAAAAGCGCTGCTGGGTTCATTCCTGACACCCAGGAGAGCCCCATGTCCTCAGCCTGGCTCTCGACCCATGGAGCCCGCAGCAGGAAGGGCGATAACAACCAGAGGAAACCACAGGCGTGTGTCCAGCAGCCCCTCCAGCCCAGCATCCCCACAGCGGGCACGGCCAGGCTGGAAGATGGGCTGGAGAGCTCTGCCAGGGTTCCGGAGGTGAGCGGTGCCCTCAGGGCAAAGAAAGGCATGAAAAAAAGAACCGCATGGAAGAGTCGGGACCTGGCAGAGCGCAGCACAAATCCCTTGCTGAGACCACAGCGGTGCGAGGCAAAGAGAAAACCAAACACGGCGGTTTTCAGAGCTGCGGGCTCGTCCTTACCAGGCACAGGGCGAGCAGGGCGAGCAGGGCGAGCAGGCGGGCACGCTGCAGGGGCGGCATGGCCGGGGCTCGGCGGGGCTCCGACACTTCCCGTGGCACTTCCCCGTTCGCCCCGAGCCTTTAAGCCCGGCGGGGGCACCGCGCACCCAATCGCGCCTCCCTTCCCCAGCAGCGGCGGGACCGGCGCGGTTTTGGGGAAGTCGCAGCTGCTGCCCGCGCTGCGAGGAAAAAGGTGCGGGCCGTGGATTTGGGATGTGCGGGCCGTGGATTTGGGATGCCCGGGACGTGGATTTGGGATGCCCGGGCCGTGGATTTGGGATGCCCGGGCCGTGGATTTGGGATGCCCGGGCCGTGGAGCTGCTCCTCCGCATCCCCTGGCGCCGGAGCAGCTCCCTGCTCCCTGGCACGGCAGTGATGAGTGACAGAGCAGGGAAATTTCAGCTGAATAGAGATAAAGTGGAGAAATGGGACAAAAGGGTGTAAAGGGATGAGCGCAGGATGCCAGCCATGGCGGGAAGCAGTGGAGAAATGGATAAAAAGGATAAAAATAAAATTCCCCACTGCAGTGGGTGTTCTTTCAGAAGTAGGTGAAAAGAAAAAGTGCATCCCGAGTTAAAAAGTTGAAGGAAAGGCTGAAACCCCTCAGGTTCTGCTTCTCCCTGGGGCCTCTCTGTCCTCACACCCACCAAGGACTAAGAGTGACTGAAACCCTCCCTGGATCGGAGGGAGGGTTTGCAAATCGCAGCCCAGGTCAGAAGGAATAAACCTCCTTCCCTCCAGGTGGAGCTGGAGCCAAGGCATCCCTTGGGATTTCAGTTACAGATCCTAAATAAAGGGGGAAATGCTTCCTTTAATCCCCTAAAGCGGGAAATGCTTCCTTTAATCCCCCAGCTCCATCTGCTCACAGCAGATCTCCGAGCTCCCTCGCCCTGCAGCACAGGAAACGAAAGGATCTGGTTATTTTAAGATGGTTTGAAATGAATAAAGTCACTGGAACGTGCTGAGAACACACACCTGCTGTCTGGGTTCGTGCTGGTGAAGCACATCACGGTGAGCTCCCTGCAGCTCCCACCCTCAGCTGAGGGCTCTGCTGCAGAAAAGCTTCACCAAATTTGGCTCGGTTTGGCTCTTCGGGCAAGTAGAAATTACTTGAGCACAGCCAACCTCCCTGACAGTGTCCAAGGCCGGGCTGGACAGGGTTTGGAGCAATGTGGGACAGTGGGAGGTGTCCCTGCCCATGGCAGGGGGTGGGATGGGCTTTGGGGTCCCTGGAGCCCAAACCTGTCTGTGGTTCTGTGCACGCCCCATCAAAGGAGGTAAAACTGCGGGGACAATTGGCCTGTCCCACTCGCCTGCAGCTGGCGAGGCCGAGCTCTCCGGGTGGGATGGGGACACCCAGGAAAGGCTCCCGGGATGGGGACACCCAGGAAAGGCTCCCGGGATGGGGACAGGAGCTGGGGCAGCTCAGGGCACCAGCGGGGCCCGGCTGAGGAAACAGGGACTGAGGGAGCAGGTGAGGGAATCGGGAGGAGCCCCAGGCCAGGCTGACGGGTGTGTGCGGAGGGAGGCTGAGGAGAAAAATGGATCCCGCTCCCGGTAATTCCCGGCGCCGGTGTCCCGGGAGAACGCGCGCGGTGCACGCTGGGAATTGTAGTTCCCAGGGAACTCCAGCGCCCACCACGTGACCAGCGCCGGACCAATCGCGGCCCGCCTCGCGTCGCCGTGGCAACCGGCTGTACACAAGATGGCGGCGGGGGGTGAGTTTCCAGACCAGGCCTGGGCCGAGGGGTCCCTGCAAGGCTCCCTCCGCTCCTGCTCCGGGGTCAGCACTGAAAACAACACGGAGGGTAAAGCCCCTGAGGGAGCTGGGAGTTCTGGCCCAGCAGCTTTTCGGTGACACCCCCGGCCAGACCCCTTCTGTGGCTGCCCTCCCGCACACACAACCAGAACCAAGGG